GAAATTAGGACTCTACGAGCTGAGACTGAGCGGAAAACTAGAAAGAAGGCAAGAAGGCGTGCTATTCTAGGTAATGATACCCTTTTATCTGTACAAGAAGGCCAAAATCGCATTCAGCAGCTTGATACGCAGCTTAATGAGAAGCTTGATGAGCCTACACCTATGCCTCAACGGCGAGCTCCACAACGCTGCAGTGGCTGTGGGACTATTGGACATACCATAAGGAATTGTCCTAATAAATAGCTATATATTCAACTACTAGATAGTCTAATTTAATTGTATTGGTGGTTGAAAAGCTTCAAAATTATAGTGGGTGCGGCGAAAATTCGTCGCTCGGTGGTATTCGTCGCTCGGTGGTTGATTACGTTAAGGAAATACACCTTACGTAAGCGTAAGCGTTCAAGATCATGTGTTGCAGCTTGTGTACAGATTGTCAGCACATATCTGTAGAAATATAGGCTTCACAGGGCTTCCCCTATAGACGCCCCTATAGGCTCGCATTGGCACCGCTATAGGCTTTATATAGGCTTAGATTACAGGCATATGGAGGTCCGAAGGTCCGGAGCATTTAGGTATAAACATTTAGATGTACTAGGCTTTATATTAGCTTATAAAGGCTTTATAATGCCTTTCTTATAGGCTTAGAGGCTTTATCAAGGCTTCCATTACAGGCTTTCGGAGTCCCGAAGGTCCAGAGCATCTATAGGCATTACTAAGCCAAGGTATTCTTTCCCCTTCGAGCCTAGACGAGCGAAGCTTGTATACCCCGTTTGTAATAGTTATTCCCGCCTGAATACTGCTTTTCCATCATTGCTGTTCACTACAAGGCAAATAATGAGGTGAATTTCAAAATCTTGTGGATATTGCTTGTCTGCGTCTTATGACTCTCGTCAGCAACGAACCGGTCTCATGGAAGGTCCTAAGAAATAGGCATGCGATTGGCAGGAACCCCTGGTTTCCCGACCCCGATGACATGGTCCTGGGATGGAGGCACAGATCAAGGGGAGTCTTGAGTATTTCGAACAAGAGTCACAGTCTAATTCACCTCTATTTGGCCTTAGTTTATAGAGGGATTGGAACTGATCTCTGATAAGAATGATTAAGATTAATAATGCAGGGTGTTGATATGACATATGCGCCCAAATTTACTAAGGATCTACATCCCAGGAACCATCTATCAGGAACCCTTATCTCTTGGCATGCTATCGAAGTATTGTTCATTGCTCACACTACGTATATTTGTCGCGGATTATCATGCACGATGACTGATTATCAATTTTTCTGAACCGCCTGACCATCATTTCTGCAAGGACAAGCTTTTCCCGCAGTACTGATCTAGTAACCCATCCATTCACCCGGGATCGATAAATCATAATTGATAAACAATAGCCGGTAGATAAGATAAGATACAGCCAATTATTAATTGCCCAAAGATGTGGTCCCGAATCCCCGGGATTTGGTTGCTGCTGTTGCCAAGGGATAACAGCACCAAACACCGCTATCAGTATCAACTGCATGGCGATCACTTTAGTCTTACACAGGAATATGCCTGATGGTCGATGCTTGAAGAGAGCTCATACTGTATGTTTGTAATTTCAATGGAAGTGGTCTGTCTGGCTGGATTTAAAAATGGGCGAGGATTGATGCGTTCGTCTGGTTGTACAGTACAGTTCCCCGCTAACAATTTCCTGGATCTTCCTCAGACAGGTAAATGATGAGCATGTTTCAAGCTTTTCGACAAAGTTATTATCTGTCTCATCGCATCTCAGACCCCGCGGGATTTGCTGCGATGCTGCGACATTCGAATCGAGTACAGACGAGAGGTATAAATATCAAGCTTTGAACGGCCAACTTTTCTGCAATCCAGTTGCAAACATTGCGAAAAAGCTTGTAAAGCACGTCCTTATCTTCTTTCACCTTTAAAATGCCCACCGTCCTCAAGAAGTACAAGGCCGCTGCGGTCAATGCCGAGCCGGGTTGGTTCAACCTGGAAGAATCAGTCCGCAGAACGATCCACTGGATCAACGAGGCTGGGAAATCGGGTTGCAAACTCATCGCCTTTCCGGAATTATGTATGACAGTAACTTGACTCAATCAATTGCGTGGGGTGTGTGTCTGATGATCTGATCTAGGGATCCCCGGATACCCCTTCTGGACGTGGGTGTTGAGCTATCAGGAGAGCCTGCCCTACTACAAAAAGTACCGCGAGAACAGTCTCCCCTCCGACTCAGAGGAAATGCAGCGCATCCGCGAAGCTGCCCGGGCAAACAAGATCTTTGTCTCCCTCGGCTACTCTGAGATTGACCGGGCCAGTCTGTATATGTCCCAGGTCATGATCTCGCCAACGGGGGACATCATCAACTACCGCCGGAAGATCAAGCCTACTCACACAGAGAAGCTGCTCTTTGGGGACGGCACGGGCGACACGACTGAGTCTGTGGTGCAGACCGAGATCGGCCGGATTGGGCAGTTGAACTGCTGGGAGAACATGAACCCGTTCATGAAGGCATACGCTGTCTCGCTGGGAGAACAGGTCCACGTCGCCGCCTGGCCGCTTCTTCCTGGGAAGGAGACCTGGAAGTACCCAGACCCCTACACGAACACGGCTGAAATCAACTGCGAGGTAAGTTTTCTATAGCGTGGTCGTCACTTCATAGCACTGACGCAGTCAATAACAAGACGGTGACGACTTCGTACGCCATCGAAACGGGCACCTACACCCTTGGAGCATGGCAGACCATCACTGAGGAGGGTCTCAAACTCAACCTGCCACCGGAAAAGGTGCCCAAAGACCCAAAGGTTTTCAATGGCCACGGCCGCATCTTCACCCCTGATGGCCGGAGTGTTGGTCCCGAGCCGGACAAGGACTTCGAAGGCCTGCTGTTTGTCGACGTAAGTCAAGCCCATCCAGTTAGTACTCTTTCTCGTGTTGTTAACATTTGTTTGATCTAGATCGACCTTGATGAGTGCCACTTGCCCAAGACCTTGGCCGATTTTGTGAGTATACCCTCGACAACTTGCATCGCAGGACAAGAATTAACCGGAAACAGGGAGGGCACTACATGCGCCCAGATCTCATCCGTCTGCTAGTCGATGACAACCGGAAGGATTTGGTTGTGCGTGAGGACCGCTTCAATGGGGGCGTGGCCTACACGCGGACTATCGACCGAGTTGGTCTGTCGAAGCCTCTCAGCCTGAGTGAAACTGGCGATGAGTAGATTATCGGATTATGTCGGTATCTGTGTATACCTGTGTCTACTAGCAGTCAGTGGTGGTTTGAATGAATCTCTGACACATTTGATGGAAATGCGCTTACTCTGTTGCTCAACGTCGCAAGAATTTGTCCATAAAGCTGTGCAGATCTGAAGATCGTAGTCAGTAGTCCATACCGAAATTGGCAGGTTTACATTATTCCAGTTTGTCTCCATCATCAAGCCAGTGCATCTCAGATATCCGCACCCCTGCCACTTCCATGACACTAATACAGTGTCTGCTATCATCCAGCAGCCTATTAGAGGAATCTGATTGGTGCCCACCCGAATGTCAATGCGGGCACTTGTGGTCATAAAGATACTGCAATCGCATTCAGTCCATCGCCTGTTTGACTCGACCAGAAAGCTGTTTGTCTCGTTCCTCATTTGGTATTGCCAAAGCTCGAAAATGGCAGTTTCGTAAAAACAGTCTTTCCACTCTTGTGCAGTTCTGCTAATATCCACCAGCTCGACATACAGCGCTTCATTGACATCATCTGTCCTGAACTACCACCACGAGAATGGCAGACGCTACCATGGATATCGCGATGGGAGTAAGTGCCTTCTTTTTCCATAACGACTAATACTACAGTCTGCGCACTACTAATGGCCCCAAGGTTATCTCCTACCTAATGACGACGAGGAGGCTGATCGCCTAGACATGATCCATGAGATGACGCTAGCAATCATGGAAAGAAAGCCGTTTTTGCACCTGTTGGACCGTCACCCCAGCAGGTGATTGACCTTGGTAACGGGACTGGAATATGGGCGATTGATTTTGGTAGGTCATGCGCATAGACTATTGTATTCTCTCGATGCTAAGGTGTTACAGCCGACGAGTACCCTTCGCTGAGGTCATTGGGAACGATCTGAGTCCTACGCAACCGTCCATGTTTGTCCCGTTGCCTTCCCTTGCTTGAGCAGCCGTTGATAGATTATAGGGTTCCAATCACTAATCGAAGAAAGAAATACTTAGGCCTTTTGCGCTGAGTCTGCAAATTCTGTAGCCGTTGCTTCCGTTAATTCCAGGTACGCTGCAGCTCGTTGAGATGACCTGAACTCATTCCTTGCGTGATCGATCTGCTAAACATCTATCCGGTCACGGTACAACTGAGAGAAGATGCTATTGATACACACTATAACAGAAAACGCGTAGAATAAAGACTGTCCTGTCCATTGCATTGCGGGGAAAATACGGAGTCCTCCATAGAAATAAAAAGAAAAACGAGAACAAATGCGGGGCCCCTCCATCCGACATTATCCACATAATTACCCCAACTTAGGTACGGAGTATTAATAGCCAAAACAGGAATTGAATCAAAGCGTCCATTTTCCGGCGGGGTAGAAAACAGCTTGCCAATAGTACTCTTCCTTACACGGTAGTTGATACTCAGGCCATGCCGGTAAATTACTGAAGCAAGTAAAGCGAGCTTGGACTGTTTTTGGTCAGTGTCAACGCTTTCTAAGCGCAGTTTGCTATTGATGGAGAATTAATTCGTGCTTGGCACCTAGTACTCCGTACGTAGCTAAGCTGTTCTTGACAGGTACATGACGAGTAGTCTAGATTATGAATGGCAGGGACTATGTCTGAAATGTCCCTAGTATGACTACGCATTAATTCTGTATGGTTGATCGATTCGAGGGACAAGTCTCGGTAGAAGTCCGCCGGAACGTGATATTACTTTAGAATTGGAGATATAAATATAATAAGCATGACGAGAAACACCAGTTCAAGCAACCGAGCATGCAAGCATCCTAGAGGGCTATTCTGTCGCAATGTCGTTCCTTCGTCTCCTGTCTATCTTTCCCCTGGCATACGCCAGCATAGCTGCAGCTACACCGGCAGCTACGCCGACCGTCTTCTCCAACCGCACCATCTTCACACCCCCATCCAACTACACGGACCCCCGTGTCCTGTACGCCCGCAGCGTGCAGCTGCCCAACGGCGACCTGCTCGCAACGTGGGAGAATTACTCGCCTGAGCCGCCGCCAGTGTACTTCCCCATCTACCGCTCGCAAGACAACGGCTATTCATGGACGGAAATTTCCCGCGTGCAGGATACAGCGAACGGCCTGGGACTGCGCTACCAGCCGTTTCTGTACGTGCTGCCTGAGAAAATCGGCCAGTTTCCTGCGGGCACGCTCCTGCTGGCTGGGAATAGCATCCCCACGAACCTGTCGTCTACGCATATCGATCTGTATGCCTCGCATGACAATGGCATCACCTGGTCGTTTGTCAGCCACATCGCTGAGGGCGGCGAGGCGGTGCCGGATAACGGGCTGACGCCGGTGTGGGAGCCATTCTTGCTGGCGCAGTAAGTTGCCTGTAGGGAAGTAATTCAGTGGACAGTTACTTACTGCTGTCGATAGCAACGGCCGCCTCATCTGCTACTACTCGGACCAGAGAGCCAACACGACGCATGGGCAGAAACTGGTCCACCAGGTGTCGACCGATCTGCTGACGTGGGGACCGGTGGTCGATGATGTGTATGCACATTGCCATGACAAATTAAGCCTCTACTACAGATTAAGTACTGACTGATTGCTACAGGGCGTATCCGACGTACACCGATAGACCGGGCATGACGACTGTTGCGAAGGTGTGTACTGTACCGGAATAATCTGACCTCCTCGATTTATATCTATATCGTCAATTTCCACTGACGGTATTCTAGCTCCCCAACGGCCAATTCATCCTAACCTACGAATACGGCTCCTTCTTCAACACATCGACCTACTCCTTCCCCGTATATTTCCGCATCTCATCCGATCCAGAAGCCTTCAATTCCGCCCCCGGAAACCGTCTTGTCGTGTCGGACGGCACGCAACCACAATCATCGCCTTACGTCGTCTGGACGCCCTACGGGAACAGCGCCAACGGCTCGATAATCGTTAGCTGCGGGACGTATAGCAGCGTGTTCATCAACCAGGCTTTGGGCCAGGGAGAGTGGACGGAGATCGCGACGCCGGAAGGAACGAGCTATTCGCGCTCGCTGAGGGTGTTGCAGGACGAGAAGAATGATGGCCGAATGCTGCTGCTGATGGGCGCAGGGCATCTCCCGCCCAGCATGACGAATCGGGTTACGGACAGTTTGGTGGACTTGGCGAGTTTGTTTTAGAGTCCGGTTATTCGAATTGTTGCCATTAAAAGAGTAAGACCAGCCTGTTCTGGGACTGATTATTGAGTGTCGTGGTCTGGCACAGTGCAAGCGTAACCAGATGATCATAAAACATTAATTTTGCAGCTAATATCGGCGGTAATCTAGATAATTTTGTATAGTTTTTTTTTCCAGTCAATTCTGCCTTGCAATTCCACTTATCCAAAGTAAAGTAAAACAGCCATCAAAGATATAGTCCGTACAACTTGAATAAACAGGATGGAGGTGCTCCGTAGTATACAACATGGTAAACCACAAAAGTATCCCCGGGTGCGGTGGTGTTATTAATAGCTGGAGTCTGCCTGGATCAATCGGTACAGACACAACAGGATAATCTAATCAGAGATCCAAAATTCAATTTCCATCAGAAGATTGTCTGGGAGAGAAGACGACCACCGTAATATCGACAGGCAGGTGCAAGTCTGAGGTCGTCGTTAATGGTTCGGTATCACCTACACTGGGTAGTAGTCAGGACAAGAGAGAAGACCAACCTGCGGGTCTTAAGAGTAGGTGATGCTTTACTATACAGGGTCTCTACGTGGTAGAGACTGCAGCTGATGCGAGAGATCATATTTTTCCCGGACTCATGCTCATCCTACGGTGTATTAAAAACACAGGTAATGGTGACTATATTTTAACTCATATTTATATAAATAAACAATTTTTCAACTTTATAATTCTTTTTTTCTGCATCTAGTAGTCCTACTATGAAATAATGCTGAGGAATTTCTCTCTCCTTTTTTTATTTTTTATTTTTATTTTTTTATTTTTGATTTTTGTTTCTGATTTTTGTTTTTATTTTATTTTTTTTTTTGACAAGCTAAAAGAATAAAATAGCCGTTGAATAAATAGGAAATGACGGGAAAAACAATAGCTTCTACGGATTATTGAGCTATAGTGATCAGTTGGTAATAGTCAGTACTCACGCAAATACTTCAACTTCTTAGATAATTAATGCGGTCAGAGATTCTTGATCTTTTTTTTTCCCCCACTTTTTGCTTTCTTCCGGAGTATACACCGAAACTACCACTTTGTAAAAATTCGAGAACATCTGGCCCTCGCACGTACCAGCTGAACGCGAACTGGCCCGTCCAAAAAAACCGGGTGATAACAAAGATGATTTGTGAGTTGTTGGCCCATCTAATGCAAGCCAATTTTTGGCGTCCGTTCGCTGCCAGCTGAGCAGTGCGTTTTGTGTCATGTTTCGGGCGCGTTTGCGACTGGACCAACAACCAACGAGAATTGAGTTTGGTCCCTTCAGCCCTTCTTACTTTGCTACTTAGTATGGTTATATCTGATCGATCTAGATCCCGAATGTTTATGATGTTTATGACAACTGCGTGTGAGCATCATCTCGCTTTATTTTTTTTATTTTTTCCGTCTGATTGTTTGTCACGTGCATCATGTGACATCCACGGATGTCTTGCTAGCTCGCCGCTTTCCAACACAGCATCATAACCATCACAGCAAGACTTTTAATTCCATCATCATCATCTCTACGATCCAGACCCATCATCCAGGACTAGACCAGCGCTTGACAGGGTCCGCCAGCTGAAGGGATTGCGGCAGCTGAAGCCTTCAGTGGGGATTTTCCACGCGGCGCTCGGGCCATGCACGGGCCATGCAGAAGAACCAGCCAATCAGAGCCCGATTCCCAGGGCAAGATCAGCTGAGGGCATCCCACTGCCGGGCGGCAATTGCGATTGGTCGGTTGGTTATCTTGCACTGCTTAACAGTTGCGAAGCGAATATCATGAGCTGATTTTCAACAGCATGTGTGTTTTATTGTGCCTGTCTGCCTTCAAACTGCTTCATTATGCGTCTATGTACTGTACTGTACATACATAACAGGTATGGCCTGTCGATGGGTTCTAGAAATCCTCTCGTATCGCCGCTCTGGCCACGATGGGGCGGAAATTGCCGATTCGATCTTCTTTCAGCTCGCAACAGCGACAAAATAAGCTCATGCGGAGAGCAGCGTGTGCCAGTTGCCCTACGCCACACCTTCTGGCCCCCAGCCTGATGCTTGAGGCATTCCAACTGACAGACGTCTGCTGGCCATTCACGCCATGTTTCAGTCGACGACAGCAACGTCTGTTGGTCCTGTCAACCTATGGCTGGATCAGATTGCACATCCCCGCTCCCGCAGGAACGAGCTCATCCTGCGAATAGACGCCACCAAGAGCTTCCAAAGTTGGTCATTCGAAACCTTAGCACTTTCTCATATCCCGCTTTGATGGGATATAAGGCACGATGCCTTGTCGACGAACCGTCTGTTCTTTGTCTTCTGCAGCCAGCAGCATCCCGCAAGCGGACATCCCTCCGGTTTAGGGCTAGGTATAGATATTCATTCTGGCTTGAAGTCAGACATTCCTTCCAGGTGAAGATCCTGCAAGCAGCCAACATGCGTCTCAACACGGTCCTTGTCTCCTCCTGCCTGCTCGCTCTCGCGGCAGCTTATCCCTTCCCCGAGTTCTCCACTCCCAAGAACTTCCACATGTCTCACGGGTCCAACCACCAGCCCGCCAAGAGAGACCCTGCTGCAGAAGTCGTGGTCGGACCGCTGGCGGTGTCCTTGGTTAAAAATGCCGACGGCGTCGGTCGTGGCAAGGACGTGTACAAGCTGTACTTGGGAGATGGTTCCACTGCTGCTGGCTGGCCTGCGATGTCTGAATGGTATGACGGATTGCAAAAATTCTGGCATTGGTCCGTGACTGACGCTGCGTAGGGTCTCGTTTGACTACATGTTCAACGCCAGCAAGCCGGTGATGTTCAGCTCCTGCTCAGCCTTCAGGGACCACTACGGCAACCCAGTCCCAAACAACTCGGCCGAGGAAATCGGCGCCATCTACAATGCCATCCAGCAGGTCGCCCAAGAGACCAAGGTCGACCACCGCTTCATCCTTGCTGTCATGCTGCAGGAGTCTGGCGGCTGTGTGCGCGCGCCTACGACCAACTGGGGTGTCCGCAACCCGGGTCTGATGCAGGACCACGATGGCGCTGCCACCTGCAACTCGGACATACCGCCCTACACGGTACAGAACCCTTGCCCGCAGCAAACCATCACGGAGATGATCCGCGAAGGAGGTAGGAGCAGACTTTCCCTTCCCTATATCCATCCATACTCCATACAACATTGCAACTCGACAAACTGACGATCAACAGTTGCCGGCACATCCAGCGGCGCCGGTCTGGCCGGCTGCCTCAACCAAGCTCCCAGCAGGGAAACCGACTCCGCGCAGGCATACTACCAGGCGGCGCGGATCTACAACTCAGGCTCGATCGCTCCGTCGGGCAATCTGCAAGACGGGATTGCGACGCACTGCTACGCTTCGGACATTGCCAACCGGTTGACAGGCTGGGTCCTAGCTCCGCACGCCTGCAACTTGAATGCGTAGACAGGCTGACATTTTTATTTTTTTTCGCGCTATGACTATTACTATTATAGATAAGATACCCCTTGCAGCGATGGCTGCAGTTGTTTTGTTTCAGTTTGGAAAAGTAGAGAGAGAGAGAGGGAGGGAGGGAGGGAAGGCAGCCTTTTCTGGAAAAAGAACTTGAAGACCGTGACCAGTAATTTATATTATACCCTTATTTGTTCTGTCTGGGATGAGAGTATGATAACAATGTACAGTAGAAACATATATGATCTACAGGCTCGTGCTCATGCAATGAAATGCAATTGAATAGAATGAAATAAAATGTAATGCGGATGACACTGTCGACTACATACAGAATGCATCCTCGTCCATTTCAGTCTATCATATTGAGTGACGTGACAATCTCTGTACATCATTGTAGATCGCTTGTCGTAATTTTATCTGCACATAGGGTTAGAGACATGTATCGATACCTTTTTTAAAAAAAAAACTAGTGAGACTTCGGTCAAAGTTTGCTTGTAATATAAAAAGATCGGAATATTATTATATCTTTAGCTAAAGAGAGCAAAGAGAGGAGGATTTCCTACCTTATTATAGTAATATGTACATCAACAAATGAAGCTCAAGTTGGAGTAATGAAAATGACTTGTTAGCAGACTTAACGTTGTAAATAGTCCTCCAGCACTACTTCAGTAAATGTCTCTCTCTGATTTATCTATGCCTTGCTGGATGTTCCTCATGGTATCGAATTAAAGGAAGCAAGCGAGCGGGCAATAAGGTGGTATAATCCTAAGTGTTTGTTGTCTAGGAAAAGTAGTGCACTGTACAAACATCCATACCGGACCACCAGGGTTTTTTATAAATTGTAGATCAATGGTTCATCAACTGTTTACTAACTATTTTGGAAAAAAAATTAAATATAAAACCAGTATCTCTTTATCCTAAACCATTCATTAAAAAAATAAATATTTATAAAAATGCTAACATTTATAAAAAAAATAAAACTAACTTTTTTTTCCTGCTTAAGGCTGGATTTGAACCATCTTTAGATTAAAATATCTACAAAACTACTTTTTAGGAAGAAAATGAGGTTTTTATTATTTCTATACCTAAGAACTATATAATCTGACCACTAGACTATCTAAACTATCTAAATATTGAGGTTGTGGTAAAGAGAGACTATATAAGCTAAATTTTGGAAAAACCCTAGGTAAAAAATTAGTTAACTATTTCTTAGTAAAAAAAATGTTATTTTTGCGAATTTAACATTTATCCTAAGCCTAATATCTTTCTTTAACTAACATTTTTAAAAATCATTTTTAAAAAATTCTAATGTTTTCTAATATACAACTGTTAGATAACTATTTTCTATATTTATGATGGAAAAACAGTTAAAAAAACCTGCATAACCATTGATAAACGGTTTTTCAAAACCCTGGTGCTCCCGTATAGATGTACCTACTCACTGCAGCTGCTCCGTGATATCGAAATCATGCAAAGGAGCGAGTGACACATGAATCCAATCTCTACTTAAGAGAGCTGACGGGACACTCCGGCTAATAATTCTGGCAGACACATACCATTTGCCAAAAGAGCTCTGAGTAGTCGGGAAATGCCGCCTGTAGTTGGATTCATGGCCTCATAGCTTGTTGTCTTAGTTTGATTTACGAAATTGGAACTTATTCTTTCTTTCCTTCTTCCGTTCTCTCTTCCTGTCCCCTCTCAGCAACTTCCGGACGACAGATCGGACGTGTCTTGCTGTTCTTGCAGCTCTTGTTACTCGTCATCCGTCTCTTCTCTTATATCTACCACTATCGCGTTGAAGATTTCGGGTCTCTTGGCTTTGTCAATAATCCACGGAGGACGAATACGAATTCTACAGGTAGGTGATATGACGCCTGTCACTGCTCTTCTTTTTCTTTTTCCTTTCTTTTCTTATCTGGAGGAAACGTACTAACATCACTCTTTACTGTGCAGCTAAAGATTTGCCATGCCGCCGCCACGAGAGCAATCCCAGCCTTCTTCTGCGCAAGTCCTCCAGTGTGCCAACCGTCGATCAGACGATGTGAGCCGTTGCTGGGCCCAGTCACCTACTTCCAGGTTTAATCGCCTGCAAGAGGCACTCGGATCCGCCGGAGACGACAGTCAGAAGATTAAAGATCTCTGTCTGACAACTCTTCAGGATTTCATCGCGTGGGAGGCGGGTCTCTGGAAGGATTTGAACAAATCTTACTCTGAGTGGGACATGATACTGAGAGAGTGCACGCGGGTTATGAAAGAACTGGAAGAAAAAAGGCAGGCTCAAGCTAGATACCAGAGGATGCTTGTTGAAGTCCAAGAAATTCAGGCTCTGCTGAAGACGATGGATAAGCAACTCGAGGACCTGATTGAGAGACTACGGCGATGGTAGAAGGTTACGCTGGCATCTATATCTCACCTATTAGTACAGAAATGCCAGTTGCAAAACAGAGGCGAATGGCTCATCTCTGCGACTGAATATGGATCCACGATGGAAAATAGGTAATAGTACCTGATACTATGCACAACAAGAGGAGCCAAAGTAATTATCAAGCAATCGACCCAGTCTAGTCAGTTTCTACAAGTAGACCTCGTATCGAGAGAAGGCCTGTAAATGAAGGTGAACAGGTATCTTAGACATCTAAATCAACAGTGCATTTTCAGGAAATATACAAGAAGTACGCCTTGTCAAAGAGAATCGTTACAAGTTACACCCCGCAGTGAAGTGACTGCTGTATCTTCTCGACGCTTGCCTAATCGAGTCACTGATCTGACGCGCCCCATATTTTTTTTCTAGGACTAAGTGACTGAACAGCCTGCAAATTTTCATATCTACCAGCCTCTTTATTTACCTTGTGATTTCGACTTTCGCGTTCTTCATCACTACTACTGACCTCATCTTTCCCTTGTCGTTCTTTCTATCTTTCTACTTCCCTCGTTGTGTCCTCGTATGGCGTTCCAGCGTTGAGGCATTCCATTTTTTTGTTCTTTTCTTCACCTTTTTCTTTTAAATCTCGAATACTGTGTGATTCCTCGGGTTCCTCAGGTAATATCTATTGGCCCTTACTGACAGAGCTACTCCCAGTGAGTAGTCTCTTATTCACTGGTGCCCTTAGGGTGCTAGGTCTCTGTAAGTCACCGTCCCAGCCCCCCTCCATCCCCTGCTCCCTCGTCTAGTCTCCACTGTCTCACAACTATCCACAGGTATTCAGTCTACGTAAGTTGTCTTTGCATCTTGCTTGCTATGGTGCTGACAGCAGACAGATCCTCTTTCTAGGGCCATCGTTCTCGAACCGATACGACGATTGGTGAGACCATATCTTTCCTCCCCTACAGCTCTTGATACTGACAGTGACAGTTACGCTTGCGACCAAGTCTTCGAACTCGACACTGAGAAACCGATACCGACTCCGATCCTCGACGTTTCAGGCGATCAATCCAAGACCTTGAACTACGGAAACTTATTATACTGGTCTAGCTTTTAGGTGAACCGGACAACGATCCAATACAGTGAACTTCCTTGCTCGTTTCGACACTTCAACTTGCGACAGCGCGGTCAAACGACAAACATCTCATTCATTTCGACAACTTGACAACGAAATCTCCATTACTGTAAGTTTATCTTCCTAATGTCTCTTCCTCCTGGCTTGTCTGGTGAATTTAATTCACAATGGCTGCAGCTACGAAACTTTTCCTACCTGAACTTCAGCAAACAAACGGATCCGAGAGTCGAGCAATCGGACAACTATATCATCTCCATTCAACATCTACTGCAGATCAGTCGAGTCTTTCTTCCTATGTTCCGGGCGTAATGAAAACTCATTTCTCTACCGTGGCTTTCCAAGCGCTAGCAAGAGACCGGAGAGCCCTGATCTGGTGCATACAAAACGCTAGATGTTTCATACTATTCAAGAAACGATAGTACCTAGATCCAGGATCAAAAAAAAAACCGCCAGATATGACGAGACCCACGGTATCACCAGGAGTTCATCAATACTCGGTGTATTGAGTTCTGATCCGGAAAAAGAAATTCTCTGCTGCTTCTGGCCCCATCCCCTCTCTTTTTTTTTCTCCCTTTGCTTTTGCTTTCTACAGTTTCATTTTTCTTTTTTCTTTTTTTCTTTCCTTTTCTTTTTGTTAAGTGGTTTCAACGGTCATCCCTGCGCTTTCATGTGTTTGTTATATACCATCAAGGAAGGAATTTCACTTTTCCTCGAGTTGTAGATGGTTGACCAAGGCGTTGAATGTGACATTAGTTCCTCAGAGGTTCAAGAATGAATGGCTGATGGGCATGAAGCAAACTCTGTTCCCTTACATGTGAACAATATCATGTTTTGGTTGGATCGCAGCTATACAGGTGTCACGATCATAATAAAAAATTCATTACTTCTTCCCTGACATTCATGACCTGGTGTACCGTTGTTGTACTGCAGTTTGAAGACATGTCTGTACGAGATGTCGATTATTGAAAGTTCCTTTATTGTCATTATAATTCTCTCTTCCTCCTTCCGTCTATCAGTTTTGTATGGAACAGCCATGCAGGAATAGAGTATACAGTATTGGATCAAGCGCTGACAGTCACGGCAGCGAAGTCGACACTGCCAAGAGCTTACGAGAATACTGAATCGATAACAGCAGGCTGTTACGCAGTTCTCTTGATCGAAGGGCACGCCCTGGAATGTGGGCACGTGTCCGTTTACGGCATGGCCCCTTCCTTCCCTTCCATGTTCTCTCCCTTGCCGGCATTTCTCACCCCGTCATTGCAAACGGACAATCCGTCATTCCTTTTTTTTTAAGCAGCGATGGATGCTACGAATTCTTCATTCAGAACCATCCCCCGATTCGTTGAGCGTTGTTTCTCCTGCCACGGGTGGGGTTGCTGGCGACATGTAGAAAGGCGCGATCGACCTCGTGAGATTGACGTTCGATGATGGTACGGTTGATTCCTACGTCACGCGTCCTGGATTATAGGACAATGCTGCCTAGCTGCCAATGACAAAGTTATCCGCATGATTAGATGAGGAATGAGATCGCGATTATTCTCCTGAACTGTGCGAAGCTCCCTTGCCCCCTGCGCTGGAATTCCAATCCTAACCTACCCTATCTATCTCTCTCGTATCACATTCATCCCTATCCAGACTGCACTCACTTCTTCTTCTGCTGGCCTTCTGTTTCGACCTCCTTTCTGACATTTTCTTGCTGCTGGACAGATCTCATTCCTTGATGTCGAATTACTAGAAAATAGATGTTATAAACAGATTACAGCCAGCATCTGAGGCAAACGTCATGACGTGCCTCTCGGGTGGACTGTCTCGCCCGCTTCGTTCGTGGGCAGCTTTGCTCTCGACAGTCCTGCTGGGAACGCAGGCCGTTCGAGCTATAGACCTGAATCTGGACGATCCTGGTATTGTCTTGTCTCAACTCGAGTTGAAACCCCGTCTTTGTCGCTATTAACACCCTGCAGACTCGATAGAAGCAGCCGCAAAAGCCGTCGCAACGGAGATGGTTAGTTACTACACCGGGATGAATCCAGGCGATGTTCCCGGCAACCTCCCTGATCCATACTACTGGTGGGAAGCGGGCGCCATGTTCGGCGCATTGATCGACTACTGGTTCTACACGGGCGACGACACCTGGAACAATATCACGATGCAGGCGATGTTGTGGCAGGCCGGTCCAGATGGGACCTTCATGCCGACCAACCAGTCCCGCACCGAAGGCAACGACGACCAGGCGTTCTGGGGCATGGCAGCCATGTCCGCCGCGGAGCGGAACTTTCCCAATCCACCGGAGGACCAGCCGCAGTGGTTGGCCATGGCTCAGGCGGTCTTCAATTCGCAGGCAAACCGCTGGGACCAGTCGAGCTGTGGAGGCGGTCTCCGATGGCAGATATTCACCTGGAACAACGGGTACAACTATAAGAACACAATCTCGAACGGATGCTTCTTCAACATCGCTGCACGACTGGCGAAGTATACCAACAATCACACGTACGCCGAGTGGGCGGAGAGGGCGTGGCACTGGACGGTAGATGTTGGATTCATGACCGAGGACTATCGATTCTGGGACGGGGCAGATGACACGAAGAATTGTACCGAGTTTAACAAAATCGAATGGACTTACAATTCCGCCGTGTATCTGCTGGGAGCAGCGAATATGTATAATTATGTGAGTGCGCCAAGTTCTAAAACGGACTGTTCGTTACAGACACGGCGTATTTGACTGACTAGCTCAGACGAACGGGGATCCAACATGGAGAGACCGAGTAGAGCGTATCCTCAACGCGTCCGACGTCTTCTTCGCCGACAACCCCAAAGACGTTATGTACGAGCGCGCCTGCGAGACGGTGAACACCTGCATGGTCGACCAGCGCTCGTTTAAGGCGTACATGGCGCGCTGGATGGCCGCGACGACGCAGATGGCGCCTTTCACATACGACCGCATCATGCCGAAACTCCGCGCCTCAGCCCTGGCGGCGGCAAAGACATGTACGGGCGGGAACAAGGGCACGAGCTGCGGATTGAAATGGACGGAGGAGAAATGGGACGGCAGCAAGGGCGTCGGCGAGCAGATGAGCGCCATGGAAGTGTTCCAGTCGAACCTGATCACCAGGGTTGCGCCGCCGGTGACCAATTCCACTGGCGGCACCAGCAAGGGAGACCCGTCTGCAGGGGTTGGGGGTACTGGCGCGAGCCCGCTGCCTTCAGCGTACACGGATCCGATCACCGCGGGGGATCGAGCTGGCGCGGGAATCTTGACTACGCTGATGCTTGTTGTTTTCATAGGCTGTGCGGGATGGCTCATGTATGAGTAGGGTATATAATCGGACTGTCATGACTTGCTTTTTGGGATTTTTTTTGTCGGGCAGAACGAATTCGCTCAAGTACTGGGTTTATTATATTCTATACTATATCGTGCAATTGGAACTTATCAGGTTATTATTGTTCATTTGTGGGATTACATGTTCGTATATTGACCAACAGGGTACTATTGTCGCTATTAACAAGGTACGAATAAATCGTCACGGTTTCTCGTCAGACAACATCCTTCAGCTGCGTATGCGGCTCAATATACCGTTTGAGCTTATCTCTCACCAGCGTCCTCTGCTCAAAAGCATACGCCATGCCAATCAGCGACTCCTCGCTCCATAGCGGACCCATAAAGCTGATACCGAACGGAATCCCCGGTGCAGCCTCGACGAGATTCCACGGCGGACTTCGCTGCACGGCCGTCCCATTCGGATACGCGCCCAGCGGGACAGTGACGATCGGCGCGCCCACGACCGCTGGGACAGGGTACGCGAAATCCGTCGGAAGGATCACGGCGTCGAGGTTGTATTTCTTCAGCGCGCCCAGGACACCCCCCTCGTCGCCGAAGTACCGGTTCTGCTGGTACAGCGGCCAGAATTGTGGCGAGGTGTTGTTGATGCCTGCCGCGAGCGCGGCGTCCCAGACAGCCGTGTCGCGAGCCGGATAGTCCTCCAGCGGGAAATGCTGGGTGAAGGCTCGGACGTCCTCCAGACTGTGGAGGTTGTTCGGGTTCGTCTTGAGCTCGGACAGATACGTGGCGAGATCGCTGATGAAGTCAGCGAAGAGAACGCTGTCCGGGACAGTGCTGTTGTTGAAGGTGTCGAAGGCCGTGAAGTTGGTGTTGTCGATGATCGTGGCGCCTGCGGCAGCGATCACGGAGACGGCTGCGTTGAAGGCCGCGATGTACGGGCCCATGTAGTCTTCCTGCAGCGCGGCGATCACATTGCGCGGAATGCCGATTCGCTTGCCTTGCAGCCCGGTCAGCTTACAGGCAGCGACGTAGTCGGGCAGGTTGGAGCCAAAGGGGCTGGCGAGAGTGTAGTTGTCCTTGGGGTCTGGGCCGGCGATGACCTGCAGCAGCTGGGCTGCGTCTTTGACGGTCCTGGCCATAGGGCCGACGGTGTCCTGGCGCTCGCTGATAGGCACGACGAGGTAGCGCGAGGCCAGCCCGACGGTGGGTTTAATGCCCACGATGTTGTTGACTTCGCTTGGGCTAACGATGCTTCCGCTGGTCTGGGTCTCTTAGCAGGTTGACAGACAACAGACGATTTAAATCGATAATATGTTCCTACCTCTGTTCCCAGCGCGGCGAAGGCAAGTCCTAGGTCTGAGGCGACGCCACTGCCGCTTGAACTTCCACTGCCATGAATGTCAGTCGATTATTTTACGATGATTCTGGGCTTTTTTTTCGCCCCCCTTTTGTACGTTCCTTGGATCTTGCCCCGGATAGTACGCCCCATACACCTGTCCGCCATACGCACTCCAGCCATTGGAAGAATTGAACGAACGGAAGTTGGCCCACTGCGAAAGATCGGCCTTGCCGAGAATGATCAGACCTGCCTGTCGCAGTTTGGCAGCAATGGTTGAGTCGGACGGCGGCTGGGCGTTGAGGAGAGCATAAGAACCGGCTGAAGTCGTCAGTAAGAAACCAACACGATTTGAAGAGGAGAGTACTGACCTGTGGTCTGCAATTCGTCCTGAGTGGCAATATTGCCCTTGATCAGGACTGGAAGGCCGTGGAGGGGTCTAGATAATCTGTCAGCAAAGCAATTTCTTCGGGAGCTTTGGATTTATTTTGATACGAACCCCCTGAGTGAACCATTCTTCCTCTCCTGATCCAACTGCTCCGCAATCTCTACTGCCTGGGGATTCAGCTCCGTGACAGCGTGTACAGTCGAGTTGACCTCCTGAATTCTGGCGATGTACGCCTGTGCAGAACGACTTAGCCTACATTGCTGCTGACTTTGCTTTCGAAGCCGAAATATGTATGTACATACATTAACCAGATCAACACTGCTAAAGCAGCCACCCTTCAACCCAGATTCCAGCTCATCGGCCGTCGCGCTGATCAGATCCGGATATGTGCAGTTTGTCACAGAAGCAGAAGCAGCAGCTGTTCGGTCAGCAAATCTCCACAGAACGCGACACTGAACAATACCTGTCGAGCAGAGTACAAACGACCACAGGGCCAGACAGACGGCGCCTACGTGGAGCAGGGCCATTGTCGAGAGCAACACAATTTCGAACTTGAGATGGGTTGGTAAGTTCAACAGCAGATTACTGGGTTGAGGTCTTAAATGATTAATTTAATCGCATGATACTACCCAGCTTCCTGATCGGGAACAGCATCGGAGATATGTGCTTATCCAGGGGTTGATATGCCGTCATTTGCTATCGCTTGCTGATCATCTGTCGGTTGATCGGATGAACTAGTTCCCCACTTGCGATACCTATTCGCCCATATTCCATGTATTCCATTTCTGACAAACGCTCATTCCTGGGGCTTTTTTTCGATGATAGAAACACTCGTCCATCTTCCCTGTACTGCACATACAGTGCAGTACAGTTGAGTACAGTACATAAACTAGTCTGGATGTAATGTCCCTGATAAGGTAGCATGCATATCCTTGTCCCTGTCGTTTGAATGCATGTCTGTCTGTGCAGTACAGAGTAGTCCCGGTGAGGGGAAGCTTAGTCCCGATAAGGAAGGACGATAATACCCTCGGACCGGCTCTGCATATTGCCTCGTTCGGCTGAGATCCACAAACGAAAAATCGACCGTCTGGAGCAGCTTCTAATCGAATTGATGATTTGAGATGAGGAAATGGTGTCATAAATATCTTCCAGTATATTTAAACCGGATTACCGGGCGTCTACATATCTTTCAGAGAAATGTTTGTATTTTTGTCGATTTTTTTTTGTCTATACATACTCATGGAAGCATCTTCGATTGGATACATGTAACCTTATTACTGCAGAGAAACATCTACCGATTTTTTTTAAATGTGTATAAAAAATGCCTCGAATATCTCTCAATATCTCTTTGTTCTTGACACTAGCTTGCATGAGAAATCTTTCCTCTCACCGCGCCGCTTGTACCTTACCATTTCAATCACTTTCGAACATGCGAGGGTCGAATTAACCTACTAGCAAAATGAAGCATCGTATCTACCAAACCAAAAGTTAAAGTGGATAAGACCCTAGGAAAGGAACCTTGCAAAAGCGTTACGGAGTACTTTATTTAAAATGACGGTAATAGCTAGGTTCAAGGTTACACAGCTTAGGGTAGGGACATTTGCCCCCCTGCAGATATCTAGACAGTAGACAGCTACTATTAGGCATTTCCCGTCCAAACTGGCTGAGGGAAGCGGGATGTTCCTTAATTAAACGATGGGGAGTAGCAGACTGAGTCAGTGAGGATACATACTAGCTGCTGGTTGTGTTTCCAAGCAAATATCAGGTCTACTTTCTAGCGAGCATCGTGCTTCTAAATCAGAAAGAAGTTATAGGAAAATGCCTATATGGAAATCAAGACAATATCTTAATTTTCTTCATTACCAAGAAAATCCGATCTCGTGACTCCATATATCGTCCCTAGGATTCGATTCCTCCTTCTGCGCATCTAGACTTATTCATCCGCAGGCATGTACATATATTCCCATCCCTCCAGACAGTGAATTCCCAAATCGGTGATATAACCATTCACTTAGCAGCTATCGGCAGCCCTGCCTCGCTTAGGGCTTGATTTATTCACTCACTACTGCAACTACCCCTCCCGTCGTCTCCTTTGTCTATAAAGAACACTCCTCCTCCCTCCTAGGAGCGATTTTTCTTCTTCTCTCTTGTTACAACTTGCTCTTCTTTCTTTATATAATTTCTTTGCTCAAAATACAGCTGTGCCTACTAACAGCTGTGTACCTTCTTTCCTTCGTTTCCTTATATTATACAGCTTACGCAGTCAGCTTATCCATGCCATGACTCTTGATAAGCGAAAATATCCTTCCCTCCGACCATCTATCTCGGTCAGACAGGAACGGGGTTACTATCCCTTTGAGAGGAACCGTCACGATCGGTGGTATGACCACCTGCGACGATGTCTGATGTATATATCAAGACAAAGAAGAGGCCGAACGGATCCAGTGGAATGAATACCCGGAACCTCCACGATGTTATTTATCGCGATGTCTCCAAAGAAAGAATACCTGAGAAAACCCCGGAGGAACTGATTCGAATTGTCCAGGGAGTATCTTAAAGCTGTAAGTACTCGCTGAACATGTCAGGATAGCCATGGATTGTTTCGGCTAAGTCATGTTTGCTCTACCTAGGCAAAATGTCCTGGAGACACCACACACTACGGTAAAGTCGAGGAAATCGTCACTGGGTTGAATAGAATACTTGCTTCTATGAGGATCTGGCAGTTGCCTTGCCATTTCTCGGGGCTTCCGCTGGAAAAAAAAAAGAAAGCGAACATTCATTTCTACCGCATGGCCTCGTTTTCAAGAATGGCCGAGGTAATGTATTCCGGTTGTCGAACATTGGGTTCTGAAGTCAGCCGTCTGTCAGCTTTCAGCAACTTTAGTGCGCAAGACGTCCTCATATGGGTACCACCATTCATTCTCAAAATGCCGTTGTTGATTGGTATGTATTATTTATCAAGTAATGACTTTTTTGGCTGATGTATTGCACAGTGACATCAGGGGAAGAAGCACGACATCTCCACAGAAACGTCATCGGCGCAGGAACTCCGGATTTCAACAGTCAGATGTATGCTCGACTGAGATTCAAACCCCCTAAGGAACAGTTCCTGTCGAATAAGCAGATGGAAAGTCCGTTGATCCTGCTACCGAAAACTCTACTTCGCAACAGCCTGCCTCAAACATGTTGTTCCGAGTGTTATGTCGGAACACGTTCTGTTATTCTGCCAACTCTCGTCGCTGTGCGCCCTAGTGGATCCAATGGCCAGCCTACGTTTGAAAACGGGATGTCTCTAGAGACATTCCGTGACATGAGAAATGCGAATCTCACAAGCGAACGGGGTCCGTTTCGGGCGTACGAGCCCACTGAGGTTGGAGAACCATGGCCGCTCACCTTTTCGCTTCGCGGATTGTCGCCGCTGTCCGAAGCCATCATGGGCCTCCGGGACTTTGAAGCACCGGATGTGTCTACTGACTTGGCAATACGGTTTGGTCCAGATCGAGACCTTGCCTGGCAGCACATTGCCGTCATCGTCCCAGAATAGTCATCAACAGTCGCAACAAAAAAAAACCTAGAATCCTAGGACCTGTGACAGGAATTTGGAATGCAATTCCCCACCATATTCCTCTCCCACGGAGACTCCGACAGAGAGAGCAGATATAAAACTTCCGGAGCATGTCGCTAGACAGATATCTGATAAGGGGCCTCAAAAGTCGACGATCTGTTTGCCAACATCATTACAACTTTTGCAGAGTCTGGATGCGCTGATCATTATCTGGAGAACAACAAAAAGGTGACAAAGGCTACAGTAAGGGCGGTTGAATTACAGCAATGGCAGGGTGAGGCGTTTAGCAGTGTAGTGACTAACTGCTTGCTCGTCCAAGCTTTTCGATCTGCGATATTGTGCACCAAGTGCGTCTTCTCGACTACTACAAGCTGGAATTTTCACCAATCTCTGGAAGACTAATTGCTGTCCCTGTCTATTACTACGACCATACGAGGACGGCTCCCCGGAAAACCAAAGCTCATCGTTTCTGCCCGTTGGCTTGTGCTGTTGAGGACAGGATTAAGGAACATTTCGACTGCTTTGATCAAACGTATGCGCCACCATATCCCTGTCCTCCGGCGCCTTACACATGCTCTCTAAGGAGTTTCCGCCGTGATAAGGGTGTATCTATTTGCTGCTTCTTAATAAACTTTGTCCCTCTCGACCACAACGCACCGACTCGACCTTGTCACTGGGAAGTGCTAAAAGATAAGAAAATAAAACACCGGAGCGACCACACAAGGCAGAGCCACTTCAGTGTCTGCTTATCTTGGATTCCTGCTATGCCACAGCAGGATCTTGGTCATGATTGAAACGCCATCCCCAATCATCTTTTACGTTTTGGGATAGTTTAACAGGGAGAACTGTGTCATTCGCGTACACAGCTGGTCAAACGTAAGGCACCTGACCTTCTCCCCTAGAAACCTACCAGCAACGTGACCGTCTTCAGCTAGGGAACGAGTCAGAGGTTCGACAAGCCATTGATTCGAGAGCATCAAGAAAGCAGATTGACAGGAGGGAATAGAGTGATCAAGACTCCAGATTAAGTATCGAATCCTGCCTCTCAATTTGCGGCCACTGAACACAATTATTGAGTGGTCGCCGGCACGGCCCCGGAACCGGCCGGAAGTGCCGGCAACGCTCCCTGTCAGACGTGTATTCGCCAAGCAGTCAAGGATAATCTGCTAGGCTGTTTTTATGGTACGGGCACGACCTTTCAGTTTGATAGACGAGAGCCTTAATTTGGGAAATATTTCTCATTTCCGTGAGCGCCGCAAGGTAACATGGGAGTCAGACAGCACGGGTCTCTGACAGCTTCACATGGAGCCTGTGCCAAATGGATTTACCCATCATGGCGCTCAGGCTCATGAGGGGTTTTCACCTGAAGAAGCCCTGAGAAGGATCTTTCAACGAGGTAACTGCAACAATGGTAGCATGTCATGTGGCGCTCTTCTATAACTAGGAAATACATTATTTATATGCCAGGAGGCTCACCGCTGATGCTTGATGGTGGATTGATGCGGACAAAGACACCATCATGGGCTCACCATCCCCTTCAATCTCCGACAAATCTGCCATGTTGTCCCAGTTGATCTCTCTATCTTACAATATTGGATTTGACATGCCAGCCAAACGGTTCGGGAACGATGCCGGCCTGTTGCACCTTTTGCAGATGGACCGCATTGAACAGCGGCTGTCTTAGCTTGAAGACCTGCGACCAAAGCCTGGCTGTACACCAAGGGATCCATGATGCACAGTCCAACCTGCCCATAAGCGATCCTGATCGGCACAACTGAAATGCTATTGCCCATGGTGGTAATATCTTGGCAGACATCTATGCTATTGAGTCCATTCTGCCGCTTGACCCCTGCCGTGACAAACCCTGAAAAGGCACGTTTTGCACTCTTATTATCCATGGCGACGGCGACAAAGGATATGTTGACATACAACACGCATTTGATTGGTGGTTTAATCGCGACGGCCACCAGAGGACTTTTGCTGAACTCGCCATTCGCGAGGCGGCGATATCTACGACCATCACTTAAGCCCCCGTCGCGACACGGATACCAACCGCCCTTCGCTCATCTTTCCGATACAGCGCACCCTGTTCCAGCAACTGCTAGAAGAGGACCCACTGATCTATGTGCTAAATGTAATCCTGTGGCCTGATCATGCGTGGAAACTCATGGCTTTCCCCCGGCCTGTCCTCCTACTGCAACGGGAAATCTCCGTCAAAGAAAGCAGACAAAATGGATACCGACTCCATTCCTCGGAGTCCAACGTGAGAGCTAAGGACATTTATAAATGAGGAGCCAGCTAGCGAGCATCTGCGTCGTGAACGGTTTACCCCTTCTTCTTTTTGTACAGTACGTATGTACAGTATGTACAACACTCCAGAAGGCTGACGTCCTGGAGTGAGCGCTTTCCCTTCGAAGAATCTGCAAATCGACGAACACGACACTATCTGATTTGGATTCAAAATTTGAAAGAGTGCGTTGAAAAAAGGTTGCACCTTACTTGGGCACCTGGATCACTGAGCAGTCGACCCAGCACAATCCGGCACAATGACCTTGCCCTACAAGAGGAACTTTCAATTTCGAAGATCGGCCTGATCACCAGTTCGATGACTGTTGCTCTTGTCTGGATATTCGAGTTTCCAGTCCCTTATCGGGATAGAAGGAATACTCTGATCAGAGATGTACAGCCTGATTGAGGAATATGTTGAAACAGAAGACTGGGTAGGACCAATCATGGTCGATTTGAGTATTGTGAGACAGGTTAGCTGCTCTTGGGTACAGTGGGTGGTTGTATCCGTGCTCGAACCCAGACACAAAGGCTCAGTTCGTCTCGCCCTTCCCTTACGTTGGGATAAGTTTAGTCATCCGCATATGAAGCATCCTGCCTCCATCATGATCTGCTCCAGCGCCTTTGCCCTGACGAATGGTGCAAAAGTCAAAGAAATGCCCCATTTTCCATTAGCAAGACGGACGTTGCAACTGGGAGCACCAGAATCAGCAGCACCAAAGCCTGGAGCGGGAGCTCCAAGAGGTTGATATTGAATTGGAGAGAGCTGATGTGATTACCAGAATGTTTGTCAAGCGCTTGATGCCGAGATCAAAGGCAGGGAAGGGATATCACAACCCACATGTACGAAAATCACATCCTACGACATTCAGGGGGTATATCTACAAGATGTCCGAACCTGGCGCATCGATCGCAGGACCAAGTGGTATTGGGAAAAGCTTTGTTGAACAGCAAATTGCTCGAGAACGCGCCTCTCATACGTTAGCCCTCATGCTTCCTCTGCCACCAACATGGAGTTCGTTTGCGAATCTTGCGGCAGAGACTGCCGTCAAAGTCTCATTCAAATCGCATTCACTGACGAGTCAAGACGTGCACCAAACACTTACGTCTTAAAGTCTGTGGTCGAGACATTGTGCGTTGGTGGTGTCGATACTGGAGAATCTTAGTCGAAGTGAAGAAATGCCGCGTCCGCGTCCGCGGCTGCCGCAGCGGCCCTCCCCTCTCCTCCCCGTAAGTTCGCAATCATCTGACATGCGGCAGAGACTCGCAAGGTCCGGATTAGTTCGCAGCTGACAGATATTAGCCCCCCTGCCTCTATCAAGTTTTTGTTCACAGTGAAGATATGGAAATCGGGGTTTTCCTGCTCCAGCTGTCCCAGTAAGTCCTTTTGCATCCTTTCCCATCTTTACAGGCTAACCCCTTACAGGGGCCCATCATCCCTGGCCCGCCTCCATCCCTCGCGGGCACTCCCCAGGCAATATGGGACCGGGAGGAACCATAGGATGCAGGCATTGTGGCCTGGGCAATCATATGGTTTGTCGACCTTCCACTGTGTTCTTTGGCCCCAGGTCTATGGCCAACCTGGTTTCTGTTCCCAGCTTCAGCCCATAGGTCTGCAAGGCTTATCTAGGCACGAATGGGCATGGGTTTGCAAGCCAGGCGCTTGACCTAGTCAGCCTTGACAGTACCGGGAGTTAGCCATTGGCACCTAGCTTCACCAGGCCATCCCAGTCACATAGACTGAACACCAGCCACCTACCTGTGGGGAGTGTGGAGAGTACTGGCGCAGGGGGGTTGAACAGTCTCCCATTCAGTCTGCATCTCTAGTCTACTCTTTCCTGGACATGACAAATTACCTCTTTCTTACACATGAGAAACTACGACCAGAACCAGAAACTCCTCGAGAATTACTTGGAGAAACAAGGTCCAATCCAGGACTTCCTTGCTGAGCAACGTCACTTCCTTGGGCTTGTCTTCGCTGCTTCTGGCTACAAGAAAGATATTGCTACGATTGACAGTGAAGATGCATTCTGGATTTGGATCTTATTATCTATGCCTCTGTGAATTGCAGTTTAATGCTCTGTCATGCATAAGCAGCATATTCTTGCCCCAGGTCCCTGTTCTTCGAGAGACGATGCCTTGCTTTCCCATGGGGTCTCCGTGAGCCGTGTGCTACAATTGGTAGCATGTCATTGTTCTGATCTTGAGATTCCCGGTCAGAACCTTTCTTTCGTCTGCATTTACGACGGGGTTTCCGTCAGCGGGCTTCCGCTGTCAATTTATCCATTTCTGCTTGCGTACGGTCGCACACAAACTTATGGACAATCGACCTTCATGCGAGCAACTCGACCCTATTTTCAGCAAGAACTGCCCCTTTATCCCCTGGTTCAATCGAACTTGCCTTCTCATTTATCGGCTTTCGTGAGGAAACCCCACTGTGTCCTTACAGTGCCGAGTTCGACAGTCATACTGCTGCCTATATCGAATATATTTACACCTTTTACCCTCAACTGGATCCGACGTCCTCCTTTTACTCTCTTGTACCTATATCACAAGGCCCAAGGAATCGATCCGGATTTCCTGCTTCTTTCATAGTAAGATTCACCTTGTATATTCCTCTCTGTTTCTGACGCTAACGTTTAACAGGCATTCTCGCCATGGTATAGTTGCCATCACTATAGTACTAATTCTCACGTCTGTATTACGTCCTCTCTGAATATGTCTACCTTCACCATATAAACCTATATAAACCATTGAGCAAACTCCCCAATTATCTGGCCGCGCGAAGATTCTGCTCCACAGTCTGCGAATCGTGGTGGCGAGTGAGCATCGCTTGCCTTGCCATCATACCGTATCAATTTCTATGTGCTCATATATCCTCATTCACATCAGCAGCAAGGCTGAGCTCCTGGGATAGCAGGGTGCGAATCTTACTTGACTACGACAACATCACAAAGTCGACACCCTTTTGAGGAGACTGATCTTTTTCTATTCCGTCACCACCATTCGATTTTGGTCGTGACAGGTTCGACGTCGATTCGACCAAATTAAGCCAAAGGCTCACAGTCTCGCTGAAGATCTTACACCTGGATATCTCAGATATATCGTCGATATCAATGAAGATCGTGGACTTCTTTGGACACTAAATCATTTAGCCAGATCACACATTTGTTATCATATTCTCGAAGTGGTTGAGGGGCACAAGAGGCTTCTCAGTAAACTGGAGCAGCATATTGGTCTCACTGTTCCAAACCTGGGCCTGCCTGCGGCTTGCTGACATCGAGAAACTTGAAAAGTGGTTGAACCAATATAGACAAGAGAAATATGCTGGTTCAACGCGACTTCAACTAGTCCGTTGCGATAAGAACCTCAAAGTGCTTGCCAAGTGTATGGTCATGTCCCTATAAACAAAACCCACTAAGACCGTGTAGGGCTGCGAAGACATCGATTGCAATGACTCCCTTGCCCTAACTCCGGTACTGGCTATACCCTAACCAGCTTTACCGCAACTCAGTGGCATACTTCCAAGTTGCTATCTTTCATCTTGTTGAACGCCTGAGGCTGTTGAACAGGCAAATTATCGGTCTTGCCACTATTCTGAATACGCATACCTCCTTTTCGAGAAATCGTGGCTGCATTAATGATGCACACACGAACTAGTGCCGACCTCTAGGAGACTCTCTGGCTTCATCATCTCATTGCCTTCAAAAAAGAATCCAGCGTCGCAGAAAGGTGCGTCGGGCATGTGGTGATTAGCAAACACGACGCCTATGGGACGACGGGCACGTCTTCTTCAATCAAGATTACGAAACTCTATTGGACTCTGTCGTGAGAAAGACCGCAAATTTTCAGGTCGACAAAAATCTTGATGGTCGCAGCTCTTTTAATTACGATTTTATTGATCTCGATTCTCCGCAAACAAGGCTCGCTGACAATTTGTGAGCGTCACCGACAAACGAAAACAAAAAACATACCAATCCAGAACAGCGATATCTCTGTCCTTTCGGATAAAAACGCTGCGACATTGCTGTTGCAGTCCCTTGCAAAAAGATAATAATAATACCATTGCTTACTTCGTCATCCAAGTGAAAAACCGTCGAGATGGCAGCCCAAACCGTGAGCTCCGACGAGCAAGAAAAGCAGAATTGCCAAGAGAGTGTCTTGAAACCTTCGACAGCATACACTATTATTACCTGCTACATCATTGCCTAATTTCCACTCGCTTCCTCCTCCTCAGCTTGAGTACCCATAACAGCATCCCCAGATTCCATGCTGTTGGCTGTGCTATACAGGAACCCGCGCAGACCTGGAAGAAATGGAGTTCATAACCCATTCAATGTCTATTACCAGATGTATCTGTAAAAAGCTATATTTTATAGTTTACCGTGGAGAGTACATACATACCCTTCCTAAAGATCACTGACCAAACGAACACTGCTGAAACGTGACTATACCGCGTCTGATATTTCATAATGCCGATTTCTGACAGTTAGTTAGTTATCTTGCCGTTAATTACCCTTAATATAAAATAAAGCAACTGGATTCCCATACCTAACTGATGAAACAAGTCATTAGTTGTAGAAAACCTGAATGCTGGTTCACTAACGGGTTAGGTACTTCGTATATGCTGTCAAACGCATGATTTTGGCACTGTCGTCAAGAAGGCCGGAAATGCTATTGCCAACAAAGACAAAGAGGTTATATACTCGTAGGTTTGATGGTTCTACGTTATGAGGAAGGGCTATTTCGTATAGGTAACCCAGAAAATATGCAATCAGAAAGGGGGGAAAGGTATAGGGTGATGAACAAAGGCAGCTTGAGACGCGTTATATAAAAGGTCGTTTATCCAAACCCGCAAGGACTGGAGTGATATCTAGCTACACGAGTGTGAAATGGATACGCCATGGCTACGCTTTTTTAACAGTACATCAATGCCGGCATTATATTCGAACAAAATTTCATGCTGTTACATTCCCAGTATCATCTTTACTAGATTTTCCCGCCTTGTCATATCTACCACATCCACCGCAGAGCTAAGACGATTTCCAAAGTATGTGTTCGGGCTCGTGGCGTTGACACCAGGGTGTCTGATATCTTTGAAGCAACGGAACTATGGAGAAGTGGTGCGGTCGGAGTCGATACGCGCAGGGGACCACGCAGGCAACGATAGAAGTCGTCATGTTACCAATCTGTCAGCCATTGAATGGGCCGATAAACTTACCAAACGGACGTTATGAGTTATTCAGCTGTGTTAGTGTACAGGGCACAGAGAGTGAGGTTGCAACTTACCTAGCCTGAGCACCAGGACCAGCAGAGACAGTAGTCGATAAAGTAGCGGAGAAGAGGAGAAATGGAAGAAAGAAAAAAGAAAAGAACAGAGTCGAACTCGCAGACATCCAAGCACTCCAGAAATTCTAAACTGAATGAAATAAAGCTGGCTTTATGTCTATATCGACTAATTTCTTCCGATGCCGGTCGACAGAGACGATGAGACAGTCTCCTTTGACTAAGAAGTCGAAATCTTAGATGAGACTAAAGGACGATGACTCGGGAAGATCAAAAATCAGGACGAAATAGGCGGACCGTGAACTAAAAACATGAGTCGATCTTAGTCAATTTCTTTCATTATCTCAAATGACTACATACTTATTGGTAAGATTGCCCTGATCCCTTAGAAGATGACGAACAAATACTGTATTGCCAACTACAGAATATAGAGAAGCAAAGACACCCAGCAATCCATAGAACCACGATGAAGTAGCATCCAAAAGTCCATCCAAGCCTTATGGGAAATTCCACGGACATAGCAAGTAACATGGCGAGTGTACCATCAATCCAACTTCGGTCAAGGCGATATAATTTTAATTCCTCTTCCAAGACGTTTGAGGAACAGGCGACGAGAGAGGAAAGTTACTACTTTTAGCACTGCTCGACCAGCTGTGAATAATATTGAGCAACTTACCAAGAGCAGGGGAGAAAAAAAGCTAAAGTACAGAGAGGAAGGGAGAGCCCGAGTTCTCAATGTTAGCATCTGTCTGAATTCCTGGAAGGATAAGCTCACAAAAGAAAAAAATACGGGGGGGGGGGGGGAGCTGTTTATCGTTGTCAGTCGACTGTTCATCATGGACAGGGAGGATGCAACCTACGAGGACGGTCACCCCAGGAACAGAGAAATCAGAGAGAGAGAGAGAGAGAGAGGAGGAGGAGGCGTCGAGAGAGTTGTCAAAGGGCTTCGGTGGAGGTAAGCGGCGAAGAGGGATCGATTGTCGATTAGAGCGAAAGGAATCCTTAGACTCTGCGATTCAAGGGATAAAGGAAAGCCGGTAATGCGTAGGATCACGAAGCAATGCTTGGAACAGAGCAAGTACTGCCCGTGCCAAACCGCACACCAGACAGTCCGCTGTAACCAGGTACATGAGAAGCTATTGATTTGATCATGGGAGCCAATCGACAACGAGGAGGTGCAGTCATAACCCCAGATACACCAGAGAGAGCTCCAGGAATATCTGAAATTACCCGCTAGGGAACGACGAAGTGGAAACACGACCGAAGTTCCCCTCTAAATTATCGATGGATGGGCTAGCCATGTCAATACCATACAGACAAGCTCATGTAGCGAGGACAGCCTCCGGAGAACGCGAGAACGAATGACCCTGGAGGCGGAGGAGGAGTGGGAGGAGGAGGCGGCGATATCAAAGACACGAATTGAGTAGAGGTGAAGAAAGTAAAGATAGAAGAAGGGATGTAGATGGATACAGCAATATATCTAGTCGAAAGGATCAGAAGACAAAGTGCGGGGATCGACGAAGCGTAAAAATGGGCGACGGGGATAAAAATAAGAGAAGTCATTTTATGGTGGAAATAGGATGATGTTGGGTGGGTAGTGGAAGGTGTGACGGTGGGACGAAGAAAAAGAGAGAGAACTGACGCGCAGAAGGCAGAAATTTATAAACAAAGGACACTAGTCCCAAGTGGCTAGTCTCTTCTAGGCAGATATCCAGCAGTTACTGGAATCAATCTTGGTGAATGAAAGTGCTTCATGGTTCTGGAGCGCCTACTTGGAAGCCAACATGCATGGACAGCCAAGTGAATGCTCCATACCTCCTGGTAACGTACCCCTAGTTAAGAGATCTAGCTGAAACAGTAAATTCGGACTCCGATCGAGTACGTCTTCTGATATTTCATCTCGACGCTGACTCCGAGCCGCCAAAGTGATGTGGAACCTTGTTTATACCTATAAGTCAGGCCAAAGGCAGAAACAAGCAGATGCCCGCCAATGGTCGGAGAGCAATAACGAGTCCTCTGACTCATTGGAACTGTTGATAGGTTGTGCTCAAGTACCTGTGCGCTGGAGCTGCGACTATATCAAATTTGCAGAGGCTATATCTGTATCTTGCGGGCCCTATGTCGTTGAAATTCTCGACATCCCATACGTTTGTAGATGTATCTCAAATATTATGTGTTGTACTGAAAATTCGACTTTAGAATTCATCAACTACTTATCAGTAATATTTTTAGACTTCCAAGACATGTAACTATGAAGAGTGGAAGAGTTGTGGGTAGTTTACACTATTATATTTTTTGGTGCATAACGCATCGTTTCTTGCAGGCATTTGCTCTGATGCTTTTAGAAAACACCAATTCTTTCTAATTTTCTCTCCACATTACAACAAGTACTAGAGTAATAAAGTTATTTTGAATCTTCTAACTTGACCGTGATTTTGTTGCGGGAGAGTGCTTGATATTGAGGCGATTATTAAAAACGGTGATGGCTGATACTAGTAAGATTTTAATTTATCTTGAGACAAGCTAAACAGTACACATAAAATTTACGGTACTTTTGTAACAAATATCTAATGATCTACAAAAATGAAAAATGCGGTATCGATAGAGTATCAGATAGCTACAGCAAAAGGTGTGGTTTTTTTTTTCTGTCAAACCGGGAGGAATGTGGATTCGATGGTCCCCTTCGTATTGCGCGATACATGTCCTGTTATCCAGTTTTCGTATATGTTCATAGTAAAACAGTCATTTCCGGGGCCTATAAATAAAACAAGGTTCTTCAGTCAGTTAGTCTAGCAGTCATACCAACTCAGACTGACTGTTGAACAGTTAAACCTATCACAGGTTGTCCTCCGACCGCACCATATTAATGTCTGTTTTCCGTGATCAGTTCACCCTTCAACCTTTGATTCTGACTCCTCCTGGCTAGCCAAATATAGGACAGATTATGTGAGAGACGGCAGATCAACAGGATCATTTATCCAGCCACCCTAATAATACTACTAGATACGAGTAACGACGGAATACTCGGTACTATTAACCACTATTCCTGGTTGAACCAACGAATAGACTCAGGTGCGCAGAAATCTCCTGCTTTTTTAGGCATAGAGGGAAATGAGCTGATACCATGTTCTGTTTCTTATCGTTCATTTTGGGTCAATCTGGGAGGATAATAGAGCCCTCCTTGCAGGACAAAGTTGACCAGAGAGCTGGACAAGATTACATCTTGCGGAGTATCAGAAGAGCTGTCTCAGTTTCAGATCCAGCACGCCGAGTTCCGTGATGATCGCTCGACAGAATTACGACCCCACGTGTTGTGTGACGCCTGAGGTCGACAATCATGCAATGCTGCTGCAGTCTGGAGTGATGGCAGGGCTTGCCATATCCGGCAAGTCTCGGCCGGGAAGGTGGGGCAGATTTACTCAGAGCTGACTAATACGGGCTTCGGATCGGGTTAGACCGATACGGGACGCGCTGACGCGATTTCTTAATCATCAGGAATCCCCTCCCCAACAGAATCGGTCCTGCCAATAACAGCCACTGGTTCATGGGCGCGGAATTCCAGGATGGAGTGTACATAACGAGAGGATGCCAGTTTCTCCTAGCAATATTGACGCTGACTCGGATGGTAACTGCTGCTATCTCCGTACGGAGATTACATCCATCGCGACATGCATGTGTTATTGTGTACGTAAGGTTATGCGGGGGGATGCGGTCGCGACTGCCAACCAGAAGCGGCCCAGAACGCCTGTACCACCGCGCTGCCGGAAACATAACAGATTACTAATCACTGTCAGTAATCCTCCGCGTGCTGACAGGAAGGCGTCTCTCGAAGGGCTTCCCAAATAAAATTCCCATGACAGTGATCAATCCCTCTTAGTCTTGATAAAAACCAACAACAGTAAAATTTCATCATGATCGCTCTCCAAGAGATACCCGCGTACGGTACTGTATGGGAGGAGACGACTTATGTAAGGAAGAACGGCGCCACTGGCATCAGTGGAGCGCCCTACGAGCCGACGGGCTCCGGCGTCTGCCAGTCTGCCAGTCTGCGAGTCTGCCAGGCCTTGCCGCCTGCCAGCCACCCGCCGGTACCGACGCTGCAGCCAGAGTATTATTAACCACCCTGCCTCCCCCCTCTCGCCGGACTTTTGTCCCTGCTTACGAGATCATCTCCAACCAGCTCGCATCACCGGCCTAAACTAAATACCTACCTTGCCCAGTCCATACTGTTCTTGGTGCCAAACGCGATACACTAAATTGTCACGCCGTAGGCCCTCGCAGTGCTCTACTCGGGGCCAATCGCGCATTATTCCCTCTTCCCATCCATTCTTCTTCATTTGATTCCTGTTCACTCGTCGTCTTCTTTTCCTCCATTTTACTGCTTTTTGTCGGTTCGTCCTGGAAAAAGCAATTGTTGGTTTCTGGCCCATCCCTTCCATCACGTAACCGACTCGTCTCTCAATGCAGCCCGCGCTAGCCCCAGCGCCGCATCCCAGCATGCAGACCTCTGCTCAGGTAAGCAACCACGGTTTTGTCATCACCACTCACATGCGCTTGTCGACGTGACCATCGTCGCGAGCAGCACCACGTCGTCCTCGCGCATCCTGCTCCTCGTATAGCTGGTCGCCTCTCGTCTTCGGCCAGCCTGGCTGTTCATCTTCTTAGTTTGTGGCGATGGCTAATGTTTGATCGTAACAGGTTCAGGACCATGCCGATCAGGGTAAGTCAGCTTTGCAGCTTTGTATAAACAGTTTTATCCTCAAAGGAGGCGTGAGCGATGGCTGGCCTTGTTGGGCCTGGTTCGCTGCTGATACGTCCTCCGAATCCTATAATGCACAAGGATTTCTGCCATCTCTCTTGTCGACGCCTTCGTCTATCTGATCTCTCACCTGAGCCCTGTAACTAATCTTAAATCCAGTCCTGCAGGAACAGCTCATAGCTGCGCAGCAGCACCTTAACCCTCAAGGAGCGCGTCCGCAGCAATCTCCTCACATTCAGGCCGCCCCCGCTCGCGACCAAAACAATAATATCGACCCTGCTATCGCAGGAGGTGCCATGATAAATCCCGCAGATTCGCAGGCAGCAGCAGCAGCTGCTGCTACTGCTACTGCTGCCGCGCCCACTGGGGAGGCGCAAGCTCCTGCACCGGCACAGCAGGAACAGACTCAAGAGCAGCCTCGCAGGACATATGGCAAGCGTGAGCTGTCCCAATCGAAGCGAGCTGCTCAGAATCGCGCAGCACAGGTATAGTTGCATCCCGGATCGAGATCACCCGATCATCCACTAACACTCCGCAGAGAGCATTCCGTCAGCGCAAGGAAGGATATATTCGGAAGCTTGAGGAGCAAGTGAAGGAATATGAGGTTCTGCAGGAGAGCTACAAAGCTCTGCAGGCGGAGAATTACCAGCTCCGGGAATATATCATTAGCCTCCAGTCGCGTCTGATCGACTCTCAGAATGAAGTTCCCGAGTTGCCAGGAAACATCGACTTGAGCCAGCCTCGTCCTGAACCGCCTACTGCTGCGACGTCTGGTGCCCCATCAACGTCAGCACCCACAGGAGCTGCCACATCCGCGCCTGCCCCGGTTGCACCGGGACAGCAGGCCCAGCCTTCTGCGGCGCCGTCTTCCACGCCGGGGGAAGACATCAACCAACTTAACCGCATTGCCGTTGCCGGTCTAGGGATGCGCAAGCACCAAAACGAGGAGGGCGCGTATGTGGGAAATGAGAATTTCCCAGCGAAGCGCATGCGCACAGACAACAACAACCAGTCGGAGTCCTCGGGTGTAACAAAGACGGAAGCCCCGAATGGCCTTTCGGTGGCTACCTGAAAAATAAATTAAATCTCTTATTTTTTTTCTCTGTGTGCATCCGCCGGATTGGAGTGGCGTTCGTTTTTTTTTTTTGCTTTTTTGCCTTGCTTTCAGGGAAATCCCTTAACCTGTACTGTTCTGTGTTACGATTCGATTATCGTCTTTGCTTTCTCGAAAGCATATCGATGAGCGTGATCTGTTTTCTCGTCACGTGTCATCGATTGTACTCTTCTCACTGGCTTGATTTTGTTCTTTCTTTACTCGGTGTGTGGCGCGAATCCATGGCTTGTATGTTTTCTCTTCTTCAATTTAAGATGGGTTGGTTGGTTGGGTCAGTGTCAGTGTCAGTGTACTTGTCATTTCCATTTCCATTATCCCTGTGTCTTACTTATGAGCGAGCACAATGTTCTAATTATTATTAAGGGTGGGAGGAAGATGTCACGAGTTTCCTTTTCCAGGTTTTTTTACCAGCTTCATTACCTACTTACTTAACTTCCCTCTGATCTGATTGTAGCAATCGTGCAATAAATACGAATACTGATTGATGCAAGTTACCTTCCTGCTGTCACAATTGTCCAAAAACAGAAAGGAGCTGATCGATCGACTTTTTTTTTAATGAAATTGAAGTGCACACGTACTCGACTCTGGATAACTATAATAACTAGGGTGTCATCGTCGCGATCCAACCAGCTATCTTTCCCCATTTTTACTTCTCCAACTCAATATGATGATGACAAGATGACAGAACAGCAGAGCAGGAGAGCAGGCTATTAACAAATCACGCACGATCAAACCCCTAAAGCCAAAAAAAAAGATGTTGATTGTTGATGACTATTGATTTTTTGATTCCAAAACTAACTAATACAAAAAAAAAACAAAAACCCCGTTTCTTCTCTTCTCTCTATACGCCGACCACGCCAGCCATACTCGACTAATTAAAAAAAACTGAATTTTCTTTTTTTAGAATTCATCGTCAATAAAAATAACCTCGTGCTTGATCGATCCATCCTGTTCAGTTCGTCCAAAAAACCAAAAAAAAAGGTTAGGAATGCTAGGTATGTTATTGTACAGTACAGCACAACATAATTATTTATTTTGTTTTGTTTTTGGTCATCTGTAGGATTCTAGATAGGAAACGGTCAGCGTGAAGGGTTTAGGTTTTATTGATTTGGTCTATTATCTCTATTTAGACGCTTGTAACGTTCCCGAGGTCGTGTTCCTGCTACTGTGTTAGGAATCGATCACCCAAGTCGTATAAAAGAAGGAGGGTGGGAGGAATAGGAGAGAGTGTGTGAGAAACAAGGAAGAAATGAAGACGTCTGGGCACCTACCTTGAGGTATTCGCTTCCCTTCTCGAGGAAGTCCTGCCGGGTTATGGAAGCTGTAGCCAGATCTGGTCCCGACGCCCATTGAGCGGCCCCCTTCCATGCGTCCAGGACAGGGTCAGCAGCGCGCCGCACAGACAGCTGTGCCTCGATAGGAAGGATGCACCGCAGTTCGTTTCTCACTCTGTCATCAAATCCCTGGAAAAGCGTGTGACCACCGGTCAGGAACACGTCCCGCAGCAAACGCGCACGATCCTCCTCAGCTGAAAAGCGCTGGTTCAGAATGTCGGCGGCAATCTCGATGATTCCTGCCTGGTCGACGCCCGCTATTGACGGCTGGAACACTACCTCAGGTACCCTGATCCTCTCGACGTTCAGATGCAGTTGGTGCAACTCTCGCTGGCTATCGGGGTTAAACGGCCAAGGTCCACGCAGGAATGCATGAACCAGACTCTTCGTCCAGTCGGACTGGGCCTCCAGTGTGTGGTTCTCAGTGAACTCAGGGTCATAC